ACATCCAGCTAAATCTTTCACTTTTGATGTATTGTATTGCATCGTGTACGCTTATTCAGTCTCTGTCACCTGTCACAAAATATGCAGGGTGACCTTGGAATAAAGTCTTAAACTGTTATGTCGCTCTACAATTATGTCCATGAATGCAGTTTTGGATACCAATACACTCCACATATTTACCTCAACAAATGTCATATTTCTTGGTGCCACTCAGAGTATATAAAATGGCTTTCTGAGAATAATTGTTAATTTATGTTTTACCTGACAAATATCCATTGATTTTGTTAGGATCCACCTAATGACATCCATGTGAAACGGAGCTTCCTTAGTAAAGAATTGAGGCGGTTGTAAATATTTATTCACGCTTTTTCCGTCTGACTGTGAGAAACAGGCTGAGGACCACAGCATTGCATATCTACTTAAAATAATTGAATGAAAGAGATTCCTTGTTGTCAGTGATGGTGGTCTACTTCTGGCCTGTCAGCACATGATTATCACCTGGTGCAGGGTTTCAATGTTTGAGGTTTGCTAGGAACCATGAGTGCCTTCATGAACTTGCAGAAATTATTTCTACCCATATGATCAGTTATCAGATGCGATAAATAGGTGTTAGAACAATCCAATGGTAAGTGCTGAATACTAAGAAGAACAATTCTCTCAGTTGTGAGACGGAGCTGGGTGATACCCTGCAGTGCAGTCATACAAAGAGGAGCTGGTTATTTATACCATGTACCGGTAGCTTTTCAGGCTCTGAAAAACTTCAGTCCTGTTATGACACAAGTGCTGTTTGTTTACCCTTAAACAGGCAATTTATTTAAAGTGTATTTAATCATTACACACTGGCTGTTTAACCCTGTATTTTGCTTATACTGTATCTATACACTGTGTGTTGTAGGAAACTGAGACAGACAAACACACACACATAGGTGAGCCATAGGTGCACATAACATTTGCTCTGTACCTGTAAAACTGAAAGTTCATCAGCACCTACAAACAAAGGTCAAGTGAAATGAAAGTCAAAACAGAAGATGTTTTTCTTGCACTGTGTTCGCATAGTTGGGTCACATTTAATCTCTTTGTTAGTAGTGTTGATTTTATAGTTTTATCCATAAACTGTTTAGTCTGATCATAGCTTAAGTATAATGAATATTTTTAACAAAACCCAGGTTCCATTACTGTTTTTGTATCTCAACTGTAAACCCACTGCACACAAGCTGGCAGATATTTGCAGCCTCCATGTGAGCTACATTTAAAAAAGCCAGAGGAACATGCAACTGTCCACCACCAGTACGCATGCTCTTTTGATCAGAATCTAGAGCACTGGGTAAGAGGTTGTGGACACTTGCAAAAGCACCAACTTCAAATTTAATCAAACCTTTCTGACCTGTAAGGTCAATAGAAAGCTGAAAACTCAAAGTGGCTGCATTGTGAGGTTAAGGATCACAAACATGGACGTTGTGATACATAGTTTTGTTTTATAATGTAAGCAGTCTTTAAAAATAAAAATAATTTAGTTTATCAAGCATTGTTGAAATCTGTCATAAGATAATATAAAACCAAATCCTTGTTGATGTGGGTTAGAAAACCTCTGTTAATGTAGTAAATGTCTTGGTAATCAAATTTAATAATGTAATAAATATAATTTAATAAGGCAGGTCAAGCATGAGTTCCACTTTAACATTAAAACTATTTACAGGTATCTGATTTTGATAGTGTTTTAGATTCTAATTGTGTTGCTATAAAATTGGAAAAATGACCACTGTCACTTCTCAGTATAATCTTTGACCTTGGATGACCTCTACAAATAAAGTGATATGTAAATGTTCATTGATAATAAAGAAGAAATAGATTTTCCTTTCTCAGAATGACTTTATAGCTTGTTATTAATTTGCCCACACATCGTTATAGCTTTCCAGGGTTTCTGTTATGTCCTTAAGGAGTGTCAGCACAGCTGTTACTTAAATAGTGCCGAGTGCTTCAGAATTGGGTAGGATGCAAATTAAGTCTACGTGTTACTGTTACTGTAGCCTAAATACAGGGTGCATTTTCTTGGTCAATGTACAGTCTGTGGCAAACAAAATGGATGGAAGTGCAATAGAACACGTGTCAATGGATTATAGACATAATCATAATGACGTGCATCTGGTTTATATAATGAGCATAGCCTAATTGCAATGTCAGGCTATTTCCAAAATGAAACCGACAGTAGTGAGTTCACGTACATAGGTGAATGACTACTAAATCACATACATATAGTTGGAAATGTGTTCCTTCTGCCATTACTTTATCTTAAGTATCGTCTGTGTTGCTCTATACTTGCAAACAAATGGCAAACTTTTAAAGTCACAAATCTTAGGGGTATGGTGCTTGGATTACCTGCTACCATTAAAAAAAACTAGTGGAAACGCTGCATTCTGTTAAATATTGAGCAAATGTTTATCTCTTAATATTCGTCAACCATACATTGGTTGTTAATTAAGCAATGGCATTCCATTAACGAAGCACAGCATAATGCGTCTGTGAGTGCTTAAAAAACTTTAAAAATCTGCGTGTCCTAAGGAAGAAGGCAGACTGTGTGTAAAGTGTTAGGAAACAGTTCTGATAATGTTCTTTGTGACATTTTCAATCAAGTCTCTTAGTCACACTCTCACACCCTTCTGCAAAAATCTAACACGCTTTCATCCCGTCTTTGTTTCTCAGAACCACACACATGGTCATTTGTCACAGATAAATGCTGCCCACTGATTTCACAATGTTATACATTTGCATCCATTAGTTCACAGAAGTTGATGATCACAGTCCAATTTGTGGAAAGACATGGTGCAGGGTATTCTAACCCTCGCCAATATTACTTTGCAGTGCACCTATAGTGATGCACCACAGTGATGATTTGCAGATCTGGCAAAAAAGGAAAGGTTGTTCCTGCAGTCCTGCCGATTCCTATAGAGATGGTAATAGTTCCAGACCTAAACTGCTGGATCTGAATGGAAATGGCTTGGTGTTATCAGTTATGAAAAAAGCCTGTAACATCAGGTCTGTTTTACTGACTGGGTTCCACAGAAACAGGATTGATATTATGAGCTCAGTTTTACTTTCCCGACATTCCAGACAGGATGGTCCTTGACTTGTCTTTCATGTTGAATTGATTCCTCTGTGAAGATGGTGGTTGCTCTGCTAATGTAAATCATATTACTGCATTGGTACTGCATTGAGTAAAACGCTCCCTTTACCTTTACAGATGAGTCACTAAGGTGACCTGTTTTGTTTTTTGCAAGTTGAGCTTATTCAGTAAAGTTTAGTACAGTCTGATCGCCACTGTCATTATTATTCTAATATTTAAAAACAACTCCTGTAAAGTTCTTATTTGTCCCTAAAGGTTGCATTATAAACTGTTTTCTGTAGTTTGGTAAATTACCTTTCCATATATATTTGCATATATTTGAATGTACTACTGACATAATTTTCATTCATTACTTATTTCAAGTGTGATCTTGTATCCATATAATAACTTATATAACCATATAAAGAAGACTTTGTTATTCCTATTGGTTTTTTCCCCGAGACTATATCCTGATATATCCACGGTCGCAACCTACTTAACTTATTTCAGAAGTGCCGCAATCTGGCACGAAAGAAAGACGAAAGTAAAAGCAAAGAGCAACATTGCAAACCACAAACATTGTTAGGCTCATTGCAAGTGAGTCATCATTACTTCTTGATGCTTATATGTATTTTTATTTTATCTGGCTAATAAATATTGCATTTTGTACCAACTTACAGAATTGTGTTTTAAGTGTGTACTCACATAGTTGTGTATATGGAATTTTCTAATTCTTTGGTTTCAAGCTGTATTGCTTCAGTTAAGTGTGGAGGAAAAGAAAAGCTTTGTTGCAATGAATGTGTGATGCCCGCGTTTTTCCCCAAATTTTTAACATGTCCGCTGTTGTTCTCTCAGTTCTGACACAGTTGAGTCACTTGCACACAAACTGTGTTCAAGTGACTTTTGAATTCATTCATATTTGAGTTCTTCCTGAAGTATTTTTTTGATACTGCCTTGAGAGGTTGTATAACATCTTCAAAAAGATGTGACAGACCTTCTCTTTTTTTGTAGCTTCTTTGTCAATTTTGGGGTAACATCATGGTGAGACATGCTAGCACACATCACAAAAAGCTGGAGATGATTCACTGGTATGATGTCCTGTTTCCTTCTTGATGAAATGTGTCGTTATATCAACAACAAATGTGTACTTTAGGACAGGTGTATAAAACAATTGAGGTCATTCGAACACAAATGTTTTGTTTGAGAGAAATATTGTGCAGTTCACCTAGGCAATATCTCTGACAACTTGAAGTGGACAAAATTGATCTGACGTGATGACACCTTGTTGTTAGCTCATATGCGTCCACGGAGTTATCCTGAAATCATAATACTTAATACATCTGTAATCAAAGCTAAGAAAATATGTCTTAATGCCAATATGTTACGTAGCAGTTCTGCAGTTGTTAAATTTAAAATGTGTGCGCATTATATGTGGGTGTTTGTGTGGAACAGGCTGCAGCAGGACAGATGCTGTGCCTGACAGCCCAACCTCAGTGGTTGCTGCATAGGCACCAAAATGAGACTCCAACACTGCGCTTTGGTTAGGTAGATACTGATCATATGCAGGGGAAACCAGTGGCATTTAAGCAGAACCCTTTGGTGCCTGACCAAAGATTAAAAAAAAAACAAATGGATAATTTCAAAATAACTCATATAGTCTTTCGTAATAGCTAACTGATTATTTCAGCAGCGTTTCAGCTGTCATGTGTTGGTTTTATGTCATTGTGACCTAAAAAGCTCTGCACAGTGCAGTCAGAGGTGGGATGAGGTCTGTCTCTGGGTAAGTCTCTGCAGATATGCAAATTGTGGTTCAAGCCAGGCCCCTGGCAGTGCAGTTTAAGGACACTCAAATGCATAAGCCTCTTGAACTCGTTGATTTCACTTTTTTTATTATTATTATATAAACACAAATAAAAGAGGAATGCTGCTATTGTGCAAACAAAAGAAGTGGGGAAAAGGAATGTACAGTATAATTTCCTTACAATAGCAGACAGGCTGTATGACCATTGCTGCTTTTTTTGTCTCCACACATTCTCAATGAGCAAAAATAGTGTTTGTGTTTTGATTGTTTAAATTGCACACTGTGTTGTTTTGCTGTGTTGTGAAGGTGAGGGCTTTTATTTCTCACACTGCTTAGAGTCTGTCTAGGTCACAGACTGCTGATTTTCTGCTCCCACTCCTCCTCTGCCGCTTCTTGTTAATGTTGCCCGTGTGCCTGTGAACGAAAGGGAAAGGGAACCCTCAACCACTATGTTCTGCAAACACAAATCTAGGTAATAGTGTTGGTAGCAAGTGCTTTTTTTTGTCCCTAGCCCAAACTTGTAACAGCTTTACATGCTGTAAAAACAAAGTGAGATTTTCTTACATTAGAATTAATATCACTGATGGGGACATACATAGATTCAGCTGAATGTATAACTACGGAAAGACCTACACTATCAGGTTCGAGCTGCCCATACACTGGAACACTATTGTAGCTTAAATTCATCTTTTCTGCTTGGTGTTTTAGCTGCTTCTTGATGTAACTTTAGTTTGTTTTAATTAGATTTGTATGGTGTTTTATATCTGTTTATTGTTTTTATTTCAACATCTGCATCATGTTTCTAATTTACTGTTTGCATAATGATCCAAAACAATACTAAAAGTACTTTTTATTTGAATTTCCTTTCAAACATTAACCTCAAGAAAAATGAATCATATAACAATAGTAAGCGGTATGAGTGTTACTTTCTTTGTGCTCCCTCTCTCAGCTAAGCTTTACTTTCCCTTCCTGTCTTTAACAGGAAGTTGACCTTACTTGACTTAAAATGGTCTCATCATTGTGTATGCTGTCAGGAAAAGGAGTTCTTGGAGTGGAGCTGGTGTGTGTACCAATATAGGACACATGCTTTTCATTTTTTATCATACACACTGACTGGCTCAGCTCAGGTCACAACTATTTTTGGCTGCAGCTTTGTTTTGGGCCCGTCCCATTAGCTTTGCTTGATTAGGCCATTAAAGTCGTCTGTACGTGCCTAAGTGGAACAGTAAAGCTTCTGTCACCCTTCATCGTCATCCACACTGCCGGTGCCTTTGTCGTGGAATGAAGTATTACGTAAGATTCTCTCTCACAGTCACAGGTCACAGTGTAGGTCAGTTTACACAAACATGAAGGAATGCATGGAAAGCTTGTAGTCTGGTAACACAGTCTGGCTGTTTATCCTAAAAAG